CCCCAAAACCCCAAAACCCCAAAACCCCAAAACCCCATTTGTAACTCTGAAAGATCAGACATAAAATAATTTACAAGATGGGAAGATTTACCAGACCCATGGTATCGTTATTATTTCTAGCTCTTTTTATTGCTTTGGGCTGGACTCAAGACTGGGAAGAGATGTACTCTGATCCAGAAATCAGGCTAATTGAGCCTGCTCCTAGAGAAGGCAGTAAGGGAAATTTAATAGGAACTCAAATATGAGGAGGAACGAGAAGAATAGGAAAAAGTGGATTCGTTGCTGCTCCTAATACGCATGTCTTTGCTAAATGGAAAACTGTTCACTCTGATGTCGGTGGAATGTGAAAAATTACTATTAAAAAGAATAGTTCCGAAGACTTCCAGCCAGTGGAAGTCTTGGGATATACAGAAGATGGATGGTTTGAATGTGGAAGAAAAGCTGGTTTGGATGAAACAAAGCAATTTAAAACTCCCAACTACACTTGAGAAATGTGCACACTTCAATTCCAATTTGGCACAACTAGAGGAGATATCTCTGTTTGATCAGAAATCTCCTTGAAGGAAGGAGAAAATATTAGTTGTGAAGGAAAATGAGTCAATGGAGGAACTTGCTTTAATGGAGTATGTCTTTGTGCTTCTGGCTATCAAGGAAAATATTGTGATGGCAAAGGCTATCTCGAAGATAACACCCCCAGTATGTGGGTTATCTTATTGGCTATTGTAGCGATTATTGTATTCTTTATAATTTTTGGAACTTGGCTAGTGAGATTCATCAGTAACGCTAAAGAAAAGTTCAATGATCGAATGACCCCTGGATATAGCTTCAATAATGAAGTAGCAGACCAGAGCACTGAAGAAAACAATGAGGATGATCGGTTTGACTCTTTTAGACAAAAGAGAAGAGGCTTTAAACATCATAGAGTGGAAGAGCAAGATAGCTTTTAAGATGAGCAATTTCAATTAAAGCCTCCCACCAGGGGTTTTGGGGTTTTGGGGTTTTGGGGTTTTGGGGTTTTGGGGTTTTGGGG